TTAAGGGCATGAGGGAAGGTTTTCTAACTCTTGCATCTCTTGAAGTCCAACAGCCAGGGCTGTCTGGCTGCAGACCGGGCGGCTCCCAGAAGAGGCGCAGGCCTCCTCCGCAGGGAGGTCCCAGGGCCTTCTGTGGCTCCTGATGGAGAATATAATCTTGAACTGAGTGCTTCTCACTTCATCAGAGGTGGTCGATGGAAGTCTTAGCCTGGGGTGGTTTGAAGGCCATGCAGCGACAACGTTGTGGCTGCCACTGCATGCGTCCCTCCTGTGGGGCAGGCACTGATAACTCTTGATGTTTTATGTACGGTACTTGATTCCTCTGGGTAGTCTGGGATTTATTTCCAGATCAAGACATTCCATGGGGCGGCTGCAACTTGTGATTCCATTGCCTTGGGCCCCACCGCCTGGGACAAAGCCCTCCCAGGGAATCCCTCCCCACCCCTGGGGCGGGGCGTTGGCCTAGCACCTGGCCCAAGTCCATTTCTGCCCCAGGGAGGATGGGGGAAGCCAGGCAGGCAGGCAGGTGGCCTGGACCCTGCGAGGCTCTGTCGCTGCTGTGCTTCCCGCCAGCACTAATGCCATCGATGCCCCCAGGCCTAAAGGAGGCGGGCCCAGCAGCCGGGCAAGCTGGGAGCTTCCAGTGGCTTTTTCTCTTCCCCCAGGGCAGCAGCATGATGGGTGTGGAGCAGGGTCCTGGCAGATGCTGGACTGGGTTTCCCTGACGCTTAAGTTCCAGAGCCTCCTCCATGAAGCTCATCTCTGTGCCCTTTCTTCTGCCTCCCCAGCCCTCCCTGTTTCACTCTCAGCTCTCATGCTGCCTGGAGACATCCTTCGTGTCTGCCTGCCCTTCCTCTTCTCCACAGTTCTGCCCTCCTCGCCCTGCTCCCTCCCTTGGCGATCCCACCTCCTTCTGTTTCAGCCAACAGCCAGCCTTTTCTGTGTAACTTAGCCATCTTTCTCCCCATCATCCACGAGGATACGTTCCTTCAACAAACATCTCTGCATGTACGCTGTGGGCACTGGCACACAGCGGGTGCACAAAGGCAGCTGGACAGAGTGAGAGCTCAGTAATGTCTCTTTGTTAGACTTTGTCCATTTATTCCTCACCTACCTCTTCATGCATGTCTGCTGCCTGCCCCATCCTGGGCTAAGCCCTGGGCTGAGAAGGGAGAAATGACGTAAGATCCCAACCCTCAGGGAATGGATTTTCTAGGAGGAGCTGGACATTCGGGGTTTGATGATATACTAGTCAGAAAACACAGGCAGTCATTGGATGGAGGGATCTGTATGATTGCCCTAGTCTGGGAGGACTTCCTGGAGGAGCTGGTGCTTGATGACCTTGGAGGTCAGCTGGAAAAGGGGGACATTCCAGGCAGGTGGGCAGAGGTGGGGGCAAGGGAGACCAAGCAGGTCAGGGGTTACCTTTGGTCAGGAGTGATTCAGCCTGAGCCTCGGGACCCGTGTTTTGTCAGCTGTCTTGTCAGGGAGGGCATTACAGAGTGAGCGGAGGCCTGACCCTACCAGGTATCAGGCCATCACGCTGAGCCTTCACCCAGCCACTCTGCATCACCTAGTAGGAGAGTGATCTGCTGGTTTTGTCCAGACCCCAGCACCATCACCCATCCCATCCCTGACACCCACCTGCCTCAGACAGGCTCCTTAAACTCGAGGCCACCTGAGGAGTGGCAGCGGGAACTGCAACTATTTATCCAGCAGGATGGGAGACTCAGAGGTGTGACTCCTCCCCCAGTCTGGCCTCCAGATGTCCGCAGGGCTGTCTCGGGGAAGGCTGCTAGGGAACCAGAATAGTGGGCCAGACCTGCAGGAGACAGACACAGGTGGACCTAAGGACCAGCTGTCCTGGGGGCAGTGAGCTCTCTGTCACCAAATGGATGACAGCACTTGGTGGAGATGCTGTAAAGTGGAAGGAGTTTGAAATTGAGGCCCTGGCATCTGGATCTTTGGACTGAGTACCCGTGAGGGTCTTCCTTGTCTCATCATTCTGACCAGTTGGGTGGGCCACAGAGCTTGAGGGAATTTTCCTTTGTTGTCTAAATTAGGGCCCCAGCTTCAGAATTTAAAGCAAGATGACCAATAATCAAGACTGAGGTGAGAAGGTTTCTTCCCTCTTCCAGGACCAGAGAAGCCTCAGTTTGCCAGAAATCTTTCCATCTCTGAGCCTTTCCAGTTAACAGACGTTTGCCTGGACAGACATCCTCTTCTCTCTTCTCCACCCTCCAGACCCCAAGGGGAAGGTCCCTGGTCCCTGTGACTAAGGCAGGAGGGCTGCCCCAATGGGCTGAGGCAGTGACACCACCCCTGCCTGCTCTCCCCACTCTGGGCTGGGTGTGCCGGCTCCCTTTTGCAGATGATGCTCTGGGACATAAAAGGCATCATCTCAAGTCATAGGCAGACAGTGGGAGAGCTGGACCCAAGAGCAGATCTCCCAGCTCTTGGTTTCCTGGTCTTTGCATGCACCATGCTGTCTCTGCACTCTCACCCTGTGTGCTCCATCTCAGTGGGTGGCTGGAGGTGGGAAAACTGGATCCTTACTTCTCACCATGGAAACTGGACGCTCTGCTGCCTCCCCACGGGCTGAGCCTAGAACCAGCTCAGCGCTGGGGGGCTTCCCCTGAGGCCCCGCCCTTGCTCTCACATCTTCTGGAGCTGGTCCTTTTGCCCCCAGGATGTGCAGAGCAGGCCCCTTGGTTATGTGAGGCCCCTGGATTCCTTCTGCTCCTACCTCTCTCCCTGAGAAAGGCCCTGAGATCATGTGGTAGGATTAGTGGGTCGACCCAGGGCTGGGAGACTGCACTCTGTTGCTAATTAGGGCACATTCCCTGCTCTCTCTGGCCTCAGTTTCCCCACACTTAAAACAAGGAGTTTGGGCTGGTCCCTACCAAATCTGGCTTTTTATAACATGGAGTCCCCTCTGCACAGCCCAGCCCCTCTTGCTGTACGGGGTGGTCCTGATTTTCCAGAGGATACTGTAAGGGTCCACCAGGTCATGGGATGGGTCCTGGGGAGCTGTGCTAGGGCAGAGGGGGCAGGGACTCCTCCCCGAGTCTGGCCTCCGGGAAGTTGCATAACAGAGATGTTTATTTTTGGTGAGGCTGGGTGGGATTTCTTCTCTTTTAAAAAAAACCAAAACATAAAACTTACTTGTCTGCCAGGAAGATAAATATCTGTGCTGAAAGCTCTTGGCCCAGCTGCCAGCTGCAGTTTGCATAATGCTGTCACCGAAGCCATGGCAGTCTGCATGTGCCTGGGTGCACATGGGTGTCTTACGTGATGCCTGAGGGCCGGCCCCCGACCCTGCCAGCATCGATGCTGCCAGGGGCCCTCAGGAACAGCCTTCTGAAGCTGCTTCCTGACCCACTCTGGACATTCGCCTCCACCTCCTTTTCCTCAGTGCCTTGAAGAGGGAGGTGGGAATGACAGAGGCAAAATGTGCCTTTCAGCTTCCCTAGCATTAAGAGAGCCCCCACAAAAAGCCAGGGATGAGAGCAAACCTGATGTGTCAGCTCCAGGACCTGGACAGAGTCAGGAGACCCATGCTAGAGGCATCATGCTGACACCTTATGCCTGCTGCTTAGAACTATTCCCAGAAGAGGAGACCGAGGATCAGAGCAGTAGATGCACACATTGACCACAAATGCTTGTCATGGTCAGAGCTTGCGCCTGTGAAAGGTCTTGTCTAATGCTCCCCACACACGTCTTATTCATCTTGTATGTTATTTCACTCTGCAAGAGTCCCAGACAGTGGAATTTGGCTCAGAGAAGGGATCACACCCCTGTCTCTGGACACCAGTCCAGCACCCTTCCCACGGCATCTGTGCATGCTCCTGCGCTTGGGTGCTCCAGGGACAGCCTGCCCGCTTGGAGGACCCCTCCAGGGTCAGAATCTTCTGCTGCTCACCAGTCCAGACCAGACACGGCACCATGCTAAGTGCCTTACATGCAGCCTCTTTAATCCCACAGCTGCTCTATGAGGAAGACATTACAGGTATCTTCATTCCCATTTTATAGAGGGGGAAACTGAGGCACAAAGAAGTTAAGTGAACTGTCCAAAGCATGCTGCTGGGATTCACACTCGGGTGCCAGTGTCAGAGCCTGCATTCTAACCTCTGTCCGCGGCAAGCGTGTCTGCCCAGGATGCCAGCTGGGATATTGGGATGTGGACAAGCTACTCCCCGCCCCACCCTCCCACCCTGACCTCTGGCTCCTCAACCTTGACCTGCACGGGTTTGACCGGTCCTTTCCAGCTCTGAGCATCCAGGAATCAGCCTGCAGAGCCGCGTTCTGTCAGACAGCAATGGCTGTGGGTCCCGGGTTGTGCACTTTGTATAAATCTGCTGGGGCCCCCATGTCGGCATCCTGGGCATGTCGGAGGGGGAGGTGCCCAACTTCCTCAGTAAACGCAGCCCCCACTTGGAGGGAGGAGGACACTGCTTGGACAACAGGTGAGACCAGGGTGGAGGGCAGGGGGATGGGACCCCTCAGCACGGAGTTCGTGGGCAGAGCCTCCACGGCCCCTGCTGAACCCCAAACAGGACCAGCCCACTAGAGGAGAGGCCTTTTTTCCTCTCCCTAAGCTCAGTTGCTGCTGCCTCTGGGAGTCCGAGGCACTGAGTCAGCATCCTTGATGCCCAAAGGAGAAGTTTTGGCAAAGGGAGTCCTTCCAGAGGAAGGAGCCCAGTCAGTGGGGTGGAGATTACATGTTATAGAAGTCAGCTGGATCGGCTGATCCAGAGTCACATATCATTGGTGTTGAAAGGGGCCCATTCTGAGATGACGGCAAAGAGGCTCAGAGACAGAAAGGGACTTGCCCAAGGTCACAGCATGCTCATGGCAACCCAGGATTGGCACCCCAGTCTCCTGACTTCCCATCCAGTACTTCCCAGAAAGGAGAAGGGCAGGGGATGGCTCCCCCATGCCTCCCTCCTCTCTTGCGTGGTTCAGCTCTTGGTTTTTGACCTTGTTTTCTCCCTCTTCAGGCAAGGAGAGCTCCCTGGGTGAGCCAGAGTTGCCACCCGACTCTGACACCGTGGGGATGGACAGCAGCTACCTCAGTGTGAAGGAGGCCGGGGTGAAGGGGCCCCAGGACCGGGCCAGTGCCGACCTGCCCAGCCCGCTGGAGAAGGCCGACTCGGAGAGCAACAAGGGCAAGAAGCGGCGGAACAGGACCACCTTCACCAGCTACCAGTTGGAGGAGCTGGAGAAGGTCTTCCAGAAGACCCACTACCCCGACGTGTACGCGCGGGAGCAGCTGGCCATGAGGACAGACCTCACCGAGGCCCGTGTGCAGGTCAGCGAGGGTGCCCGGTGAGGGCATGGGAGGGCAGGGCCTGCCCTTGGGCTGGTGGCCAGAGCTGGGACTGCCTGACTGTCCCCTAGTCACACCAGGTTTCTTCACCTCAGTCCAAGGAGGGCCTGAGAGGCTCCCAGCCTGCCCCTCGTGCCTCTGCTCCAACCAGCGTGAGTCTTTTATTCACTTTACTCTCCAGTTTCTTGCTCTGGTTGGAGCAGGGGCAGGCTCCCCATGGAGGGACAGGAAGGCTGTGAGCTGTGCTTCTGAGATCTACAGGCTGTGTGAGTCCAGGCCCTTTCCTGAAGGCAATGATGACTGGTCCCAGCTCTGGAAGGCCTATCTCTTAGAAAGGAAACAGGATTATCCACAGCAGCCCGGTGGGGGAACAGAGACAACCCAACTCTTCTTTTTGCCCAGAATAGCCACCTCCTCCTCCATCTTTCCTCCTCCATAAGCTTCCTCTGAGTCGTCTTCCTGACCACCATGGCTGAAGCAGTAGCCCCCTTCCATCACCCAACCACCAAAACACTCAACCCAGCACAACTCCACACAGCTCAACACAACCTGGCACAACCCAAACGAGCCCAACCCAACACAGCTCAACCCAACCCAACTCAACCCAACCCAACACAGCTCAACCCAACCCAACCCAACTCAACCCAACCCAACACAGCTCAACCCAACCCAACTCAACCCAACCCAACACAGCTCAACCCAACCAACTCAACCACCAATC